TCCAGAGAGATGGACTAAAGGCAGCAACCTTCATCTTGTTTGGCCCATTAACATACTGCCTGATCCTGCCTCATTCCCATTCCCTGCACGGGGGATCAGGACGGAATGCTGAGGATCGACCTAACCAAGGTGACACCCACCCGGGAGAACCCAGTCCGTGACAGAGCGGGTCTGACCAAGCTCGCCAGCACGTGTCCTTTGGGACCGTGTGGACGGAGGCTGCCCCGCCACCGCACAGCCTCACCACCACTGGAATTGCCACTGACGCTGCCGGTGATCACACAGCTGCATGCCCATGAGGGTCACCCCGAATGCTTGGCATTGCTGGGGGCAGAGCTGGGCACTGAGAACATGAAGACAAGCCCCTTGCCCGAGGGGCACCGGGCAGGGTCCAGCCTGTCAGTACTACCCAGCGGGCCGCTCTAGCCTCAGCCCACAGGTGAGTGGTGGTGTCACTGTCCCTTTTAATCAACCTTTGGCTTTAGTCCCACTTTCGGCCAAACTGTCTTCTGCCAAGAGCTCCCCGCCCCTCCGCCCCCTCCGGCGCCCACCCCCACCCTGCCCTGTGCTCATGGGTGCAGAGTCTGCACGGGCCAACTCAGCGCTCTGCCCTGACTCTGGGTCCAGAACTTGCACAGAATGCTTTTGCCGAATTCCACACTCAACTCGTTTTGCGTTTAGCACCAAGTCTTGTTCCCAGTGAGGAAGTGAGAGCCAGGTCCTTCGCGGGAAGATGGCTGGGCACTGGAGCCGGCGGAGCAAGGACACACCGTGGGTTCTGTCAGCGAGTCCAGACCAGGGCCTTTCTCAGCATCGGCCTCCAGCATCACACAGACTGGGTACCCCTCAACTGGGGCCTGTACACATGCCTTCCATGTCACCAGCCACCTCTCAGTGCCCCCCAACTGTGCTATTCTGGGGTGCCTCCTTGAAACGCCCACGGAGACCAGCCCCTTCATATGGAGATGTCAAGTTCTGTGCTGAACGCAATCTCGACTCAGTAAATCACACATGGTTCAAGGGCAGGACTGCACAGAGCCCACGTCACCGTGCAAAGAGGTGACAGGCTGGTGGGGACTGTGGAGAGTAGCCCCCACTAGTGGCAGAGTGCCAGCAGATGGCCCTGCGAGCATGAGGGCCAGCGCTACCAGATCGCCCATCCTTTCAATGGCTTGGGGATTGTAAGTCCCCCAACATTTAAATGGCGGCCAATCATCGCCTTTGAAGGCATCAGACATCAGACAACACACATCGTTGGTCTCTGGTTTCCTGTTTCCCATTGGGCTCACCCTGGGGACACCTACCCGTCTCCCCTGCACATGCCAACATCCGGGCTTTACATGAAACGCGGAGATAGGTGACTGACGCCCACCCCAACCCCCGCAGGCCTTCAGGGTCCGGTTGCCTGTGCTGAGAAAGAATGCATCCCCCCCTCACCTCCCAACCTCCCCCACCCCTCTTACCCACCATCTGCCGGGCGTCTCCAATGAGGGCCTGCGG